CTGGACTCCAGAGATGTTCAGTAAATGTTCTTGTATCGTCCCCTGACTGATGCTTCCCAACAACCTTTTCCCAGAGTTCTTGGAGGGTTCTTCAGTCTTCATGGTGTGGTTCTATCCAGGAGTTCTGATCCACCAGTGACTGACGTCTAAGAGTCTATTTTTGTAAATTCTTGTCAAAAAAGTCAAATTTAATTGTTGTTGAGAAGCAGTTAAAGAGCAGAGCTTCCCAGAGGGGTGACCACGTGTCTGCAGACAGACCTCCTGCATCTGTTTCTCCACATCATCACGTCTCACTCGGGGAGGAATCTGCTGTTTGTTTGGTTCCACCTAAACTCCTTCATTTCCTCCGACTTGCTTCCCTGACGAGATGGAAAACGACGGCAGGAACACGTTGAAGCAGCCTCGTCCTCTAACAGCTGCCTGGATATTGAATGTTTATCGGAGAGCCGGCGGACGGCGTCTCCGCGGCTGACAAACACTTTCAAACATCACTCTGGGCGACGACGGCGGCGGCGATGGCGACGGCGATGGCGGTGGCGACCTTTGCAGCTGACGGGGAACATTTAGTCGGGCGGCCCGCTGTGACGGCCGTCCTTAGTCTTGCTTTACATCCGACGTGAAGCGATGGCAGTTGTGGAATGACATTTCATCCGTGGCCTTTGGGCGTCAGAGCGCCGCGGTCGGTCACGAGCCGGTTCTGATGATGTTTCATGTCTCTAAACACTCAGAGGAGACGGGAAGCAGAACTCAGAGCCGCTCGTCAAATCAAAAACTACTGGGCAGTTATGTTTGTATCGTCGTTGGACTCTGTTTATTCTCTTCACTTCCTGTCGGGATACGACCTGAACTCGAAGCTTTCTGGTTCTTCTGTCTTGTTTTTCACTTTAATAAAAAGTCCGACACCTCAACGGAACCAGAACAACCACCAACGTGTTGACAGTATTCTTTAGTTAAAGCTAAAACTTCTGTTCTGCTCTATTAAATTAATGCAAATTAGTGCATGTTTGGCACGATAATACCCACAATCACAAGGTTTATATAAAATAATAATGCAGGCAGTAAAGTGTGATGGTCTGTTCATGTTCACCTGCAGTGTCTCCTATTAGTCTTAAATATGAATAAATATCAGTTCTGGTCGAGTTCTGTTTGTGTTTAAACGTCGTAATTACAGTAAAAAAAAGGACAAATGATGTGTTAGTGAACAGTTTTTATGGGAAAACTGAGAAAAGAGAAGCAGAAAGTGGTAGAAATGAAAGCGTCAGACGATGTTCTCACGTCCGTCTCTGTGCCTTCAGGGCAACATCACCGGTCTGACGGGGACGATGGACTTTAAAGACAGCGGCTCCAACTCGCACGTCCAGTTCGAGATCCTCGGATCGAGCTTCAGCGAGACCTTCGGCAAAGACATCAAGAGGGTGAGTTTCACAGGTTTCACCAAAAACACCTGAAAAAAACACTGGACCTGCTGCAAGCGTCGGAGTTCTGAAGTTCTGTTTGGGTTTGACGACGTGTTTGATGCATTAATCAGATTGTTGTTGTCATCTGGTTTTTAATCCATTGATCATTATTGGCAGGTTGATTGAACAGATATTTAACTGAGAATTATGATACAGAGAGTCATAAAGGCTCAAAGGCAGACGGTTTTAGATCAGACGGACTCGTCTTTAGGATCTCAAACTGTTTTACTCTCTAGAAATAAAATGACAGCGTTTAATTTAACATATTATGAGGAGTCAGAATTTATTTCCACATATCTGAGCATTAAAAAATGACAGTTAAAAACATCTGTAATTCATTTACAGACGTCATATTTCTATAACAAATCAAATTGCAATTAGTATTCTTTTCTTTTCTTTTCTTTTTTAATTTAGCTTCTTTCAGTTGCTGGTAAAAACCTCATATTTCTGTGTTTTATCTTTTAAAGTTGTTTAATTCTAATTTAAATGCTCTCACACACTTTTTCATCCTTTTTAAAGGAAACACATCTTTTATTTTTTTAATAAACATTCGATTTAATTTCCATCATCTGTCTTCTTCCAGACGAGTGGAGAGAAAACATCCAACATCCAATTTCAATGAATTTATACGACGACACTTTATGTAGATTTCACTTATGTTACACATTTTAAAGCTTTTTTGTCAAAATTATTTTTTTGAGCCACAAATCGTTCAAGTTTTATTCCTATTTATATTCTGATTGATTTATAGATCATTTTATTTTCTAAAATCGTAGTAAAAATGTATTTTATTCTGGCGAGTGATTTATTTAGTGATAAAAATACATCAATAAAATGAAACAAGAGTTTTTTTGTCCAGTATTTAGATTTCTGTCTGCATATTAAATGCACATGAGTTCATTTTTAGCGATAAAATACTTTATTTACTTATTTATTTTATGTTTTTCTTTCTGTTTCTGGTATTTTCCGGGTTTAAACCTCATCAGTTTCCTACCTGTCCTGAGGTGTAGTTAGTCGGTGTACCTGCTCAGGTGTGACCAGCAGGGGGCGGTCCTAGCGTTCACTCAGCTGTCAGTCAGCGGTCACAGGTGCATGATGGGAAAGTTTATAGCGGCAGGAACATGAGAGAAGAAGGTAGGGCGCCGGTTTGAGTTGATTTTACTGTCTAAAGATCATTTACTGGTGGATAAGCAGGTAGAATTCAGCTTGCTGCTTGTCTGTGTGAGTTTTCCGCTGAGATTTTTGCGGTTGTTTCGCTCGTTTTGCGGTTTGTTGTGGCGTAGTTCAGCCGCCATGTTTGTAGTTTTTCTACGATATCGGCGCGTTTCGTTGTGAATGTCTATAGTTGCGTTTGAAATGAGGTTTACAGTGACTTTAGTTTTGTTTTAGGACACAGAGATTCAACGTGTTTTACTGTTTGGACATATTTTATTTTACGATGCGATTGTTTTGTAGTTTTGACGTTTTCAAAGTGGCGGCGGCGGGTCTCGTTAATTAATGAGCGATGTCCTGCCAAAAAGTGATCCCAGTGCGTGGAAGCGGTTATTAACACGTCTCTGCTTCACTTTACCTGCTCTGTGACCTTAATTATAACAACTTTGGTCATTTTCACCTTTTTAAAAATCACCTAAAATGACTCTTCAGCTCATATAACTCACTTTCACACTTGCCAAATAGTGAGCACAGCCCTGAGGATGTGACTACAGCCTCCAGGATCCCTGCAAAGACATCAATCCTTCATTTTTATCATCTATAAACTCTGTAAACTGCAGTATAATCAATGATATGAGACAGGCTACAGCTGTAGTGTTGCCTTTTAACCCACATAATACAGCTTTACACCTGCCAAATAGTGAGCGCAGCCCTTTAATTGTTTATTCTGTTTATGAATGCTTCATGTAAATCATGTTAATTACGCTGCAGACATTAGACACACCTGACCCATAAATATGAGAGGAAACGTCAGACCAGACGTATAAAAACCAGACAGATGGAGCCTTTCTCCTCAAAGTTCTCATTTCTGAGCAAAACCTGTTTTTTATGCAGTCAAACGTAGATTAAAGCCAGTTGGACTGTTCTGCTCATCCAGGATTTTAAAGGTTCACTGGGTTCGGTAGAAGTTTTTGTATGATTTATTATTTTAGTTTAAAGTTCTGAAATCTGAACGACGTCAACAAAAAAGAAGGAAATTGAATTTTTTTACATTTTTGTTTTGCAAAATTAGAAAATCCTGAACTCACCTCGTGGGATTCTGCTGATTGTTCCTTCTGTGTAGATTTAATTCACTTTGTGCAGAAGTTTTCATCACAAACGGTTTCAATGCGTTAAAGAATAACTGACTTTATAGCAAGTAAGAGAAGAAGCTGCAATCAGACAGTTTACTTTTTATTATCATTAATAATAATAAAATAATGAATCATATTATTTAATTTAATTTATTCGTTTGCAGCTACTTTAATAATTTAATATAATTGTTGTACCTACAATTAAAAACACAGAAAAATAAACGTTTTCTTTTAATTAGAAACTAAAACTAATCTCGTTTTAACTCTTGTGTGAGGATTTTGGAGTCGAGACTTTTTATCTTTGGGTTCCTACTCGAGTATTAAAGCTGATATCAGAACATCAATAAATCATGAATTAAAAATCTAAACCTTTAAGGAGCTCGATCAGAATTTAGACTTTTTTCATTTATGTTGAATAATTCTCATAAAACGGCATCAAGTGAAGGTTTCACAGCTTAAATAGGACTTCTGCTGAATCTGTTGTCTCCTGTATAATTAACATAAACTCAGATTAATCAGAAGGACCGATCAGATCAGTGGTTTACACGCATGTAAACATCAGACCTGCGGTTCTTCGGTCTCCAGCTGATGATGGCAGGTTTTCTAATCGCTCTGTGAAGAATCAGCGGCTGCACTCGAACATTAGAAACCCGTCGTCGAGTCTTTAGATCCTCCGTCGGAGCCTCGATCTGCAGAATCCTTCCTCCGACGTCGTTTACGCGCCAACGCTTCCCGCTGACGCTTCCCGCCTCATTAACTTTTCCAATCAGTGGAGAAGCAGCTCCAGCGGTAACCCTGATTAACCGAGAAACCGGGAAACCGCTCGGCATCAAACGGGCCGGACGAGCTTTTAATTAACACTCGGAGGAGTTCTGGTCGCCTCCCTGTGAATGCAGTCCGGAGCCGTGCAGTCGATGAGTCGATCCGAGGAGCTGCCCGGACGGATAATTAACGAGGACTTCAGAGCGTCACATGACCCCAGAGCTGCCCCACAGGATGGAACCGGATCACCTGAATAATTAAACTTATTATGAGCTTGTGTCACCTGCTCAGGTTGGCTCACAGTCACCAGCAACGCACATTAAACTAAACTAAAACTAATTACGCTCCAGAAACACACATTGTGCAGCAAGGATCAGAGATTTACGGTTTAGTTAGAATCCTGTTTATTTAAAACGATTAAATTTACACGTTAAACATAAAAAACAGGACAAAACCGTGAATAATGTCAAAATTCTTCTGTTTTTTCAAATTGTCTGACGAAAATTAATCATTTTTTTTGTTTACTTAAATGGGCAAAAATATTATTTGACATATTTATCATTTAAAAATGTATTTAAGGATTAAAAATGGTTTAAAAATCAAAATGTACATAATATATATTTTTAACTGTTTTTTTTGGTAAATTGCAAATAAGTGGTGAAATCACTGGGAAAAAATATTAATTTACAAAATAAATAAATCAAAACATGCAAATAGTAATTAGTAACGACTAATTACATTTGTTTTGTTTTGTTTTGTTTTTTTTACATGTGATTATAATTACACTTCTTTATTTTTATTCAAACCAGCAAGAATAATGTCCTTTTATTTATATTTGTCATTAAAAACTTGTATATTAGGAACGAAATATGCTAAAATAACAGTTAAAAACAACATCGACCATTTCTTAAAATCCTGAATGTGAATATTTTTTTCTGTCGTGACGTTAAATATCTGTTAAACAACATTTATGCTGATTTACATCCAGTTAAAATAATGTAATAGAACAAATTTGTAAAAGTACAGATTGTTAAAGTTGACAATATTTACATTTTTTTCCCAATTTTGTTTTTTTCTCTAAATACCGACTTTCTGTCTGTGCTTTTACCTGATCTTACCTGTAATTTAACAAAATGGTAAATCTGTAAAAACAATAACAGCAGATTGTCAAAGAAATTACAGGAAATTAATTTTAAAAAGTCAATTCAACCTGACGGACATTTGCAGTAACTTAAACACCAACGTTGCCGACTTACTGTTGTCATATTTACACGTTCATTAAAAGAGGTTTTTAGAGATGTTTTGATTCTAATTAAAGACGCGTGGATGAAGAGGCAGGAGAGAAGTGGCAGCTGTCAGCGATAGAAGAGCTTCAAATACAGCAAAACAAACTTATTTTAATCCTGAAGCGTCTCCGGTGGGAAACCAGATCTGTTTCTGATTGGAGCTCCGGTCGGCGTCACTTCGCCCGCTGAGCGTCTCTCCCTCCACGTTTTATGGTTCAATAACTAAATGAAAGATGAAAAATCACACGTTTCCTCACATAAAGCCAGTTGTGTTTTTTTTTTAATGCTGGTAATAAATGAGCTAATTTAGCGTCTTTCAGGTGTCGGTGCGCGGACACGTGTACTGTTGCTGCAGTAATGAAGATTTAATCACCTGGCTTCTGCTGCAGAGTTATGAGTCCCTGTGCGCCGCGTAATGACCATTAGGAGGATGCACGTATCGATACCGGCACCGGCACACATAGCGAAGGCCTCGGCGGTTATTAGCCTCCACGCCGCCGTGATGTATGAATACGAACACGTGAGGGATCCGTTCTGCGAGGGCCGCATCCATCAGAGCGCGTCTGCATGTGGATCCATACGGCATGGACATAAATAAACGTGAGCGTTCACACTCGGCCGTTCT